TATTGGGGGGTCTGCGCAGTATATGGGGGGTCTGCGCAGTATATGGGGGGCTGTCTGTATATGGGGGGGGTCTGCGCAGTATTTGGGGGTCTGCGCAGTATATTGGGGGGGCTGTCTGTATACGGGGGGTCTGCGCAGTATTTGGCGGTCTGCGCAGTATATGGGGGGTCTGTGCTGTATTTGGGGGTCTGCGCAGTATATTGGGGGGGCTGTCTGTATACGGGGGGGTCTGCGCAGTATATGGGGGGCTGTCTGTATATGGGGGGGTCTGCGCAGTATATGGGGGGTCTGCGCAGTATATGGGGGGTCTGCACAGTATATTGAGGGGTCTGCGCAGTATATGGGGGGCTGTCTGTATATGGGGGGGGTCTGCGCAGTATATGGGGGCTGTCTGTATATGGGGAGGTCTGCGCAGTATTTGGGGGTCTGCGCAGTATATTGGGGGGGTCTGCGCAGTATATGGGGGGTCTGCGCTGTATTTGGGGGTCTGCGCAGTATATGGGGGCTGTCTGTATATGGGGGGGTCTGCACAGTATATTGGGGGGTCTGCACAGTATATGGGGGCTTTCTGTATATGGGGCGCAACACACTACGTGCGACCTGTGTGTTAGATGTGTACAACCCTAGTTTCACAGAAAAATATTTATTTTATAGATATCATATGCCATGGCATACTTTTTGCTATGAAACCGCAGCCATCTAGTCACTCGCCAGAGAAGGATGAGAAACTGCACCCCAGCGAGAGGGACTGCCCCACATCTGCAACCAAATCCGTCGGTCACCGGATTCAATAATCTCCGTCTCTTTGTGCATTGTGTATGTATGGTACTCCCGATTCTTATATTTAATCCGGTGTGTCTCCCACAATCTTTGTGTCTGTCTGCTGTATGTATGTGGCACGCAAGTATGCATGCACTGCGTCTGTTATGCCAGTTACTCTAACCAGTTTATTTCTTTTTGTGTGTGTCACAGCTCTGACAAGCATGTTCTCCTACGGGACACGAAGTACATGAAGAGGAATGAAGAAGCCCATGTTTGATGCTCGTCTCCAGGGTGGAGTATTTTGAATTTATAAGTAATGAAGTGGCATCTGACACATGGCAAGCTGCTCCTGTTTGCACAGCAACATTGTGTACTGTGACCACTGTCTAGTTCAGAGGTAGGTAACCTTGGGCAGTCCAGATGCTGTGAATTACATCTCCCATAATGCTGGCAAACCATTATGGGAGGTGTAGTCCAAAACATCTGGGATACCGAATGCGTATGAATGAAACGTATGGTGTGTGTGAATGGACAGTAACAAGGGTTGAAGCCTTGACGTGGCGTTACTGCTCACATGTGTATTCATGTGCCAATTCAACCAATGTGAGTCACTGTAATACTTATAAGGTAACCAGAAGTACTGTGATTGTGGAGAATGAAACACCTGTATCACCTACACACTGTTTACACTGTGACCGTATCTCCTAAACACTGCTGACACTGTGACCGTATCTCCTAAACACTGCTGACACTGTGACCGTATCTCCTAAACACTGCTCATACTGTGACCGTATCTCCTAAACACTGCTCAAAACTGTGAATGTTATTTTTTCAAGTTAGTTTTAGTGTTTGCGGTTTCATTGATTTGTTAACCACTGTCCTCAATCTTCTGTTCTGTGTTTTCTTACATTTGTGGGAAGAACAAGGTGATCTTCTCAATTTTACACTCCTCTACTGATGGTTCCAGTGCCAGAGACAAACCCACCTCCATTAACCTCGACCTGCTCAAACAGAAGAGATTACCTTCTTCTATAGAAAACTTCCATATGGCTGTTTCGGAACACATGCTGCAGACATGATTTAACCTTCATCTTCCAGTGATTGAGAATCGTGGACCGTCCAGGGAAAGAGACCATTATATTATTAAGATTCTGCCTTTCTAATGCCATACAGCCTTTCTTTACATGTGATTGAACTTTCTCCTTCTTGGATACCACAGTGTAATTTTTCTTAACCAGTTTCCAAATTTGACTTTTATATTTTTTCCACTATACATATAAAGTCTGAAATGCATATTAACTTTGAAGAAATAAAGTATTTTGCCGACACCTTAACATGCAAGTTGCGTTACTTAGCTACAAATAATACCATCACTAGCTGCGTTCCATTGTAGTTTCTCAGAAACTGCAATATGTAACATTGCAAGATTAAGGGGACATTGGCACTGCACCCAAACCATTTAAACGAGATGACGTGGGCTTTTAAAGAGCAACTTCTTACTATGCTTATTGCTATCTTTTGAAACTCATCACATTTATAAGCAAAACTATGCATAGGCACAGTGACAAGAGGACCTATATGCACCATAAATTATCATATGGTGTTACAAAGCCATATTTCGTAACAGTCCTGGATTGTTTGGTAGAGTCCCAGTTTGGATTTGCTCTCAACTGTCCCACAATAATTAACAGGTTAACGTTATTACAGACAAATTACTGTACATTTAAAAATTAATAGTTTTAATCTTTTTAAAAGTGGCAATATAAAAAAGTCAAACAATATTTAATTTCTAATTTAACAAAATTGAAAAAGTATGTTGTCCATTAATTATATAATAATTGCACATGTGGCCGAATATCAGATATTGTTATTGTCACCCCTCTCTTACTATGTCATCCCCCTGTCACCCTCCTCTCACCCTGTCAGCCCTCCACACCCTGTCAGCCCTCCCTTACTGTCACCTCACCACCCCTTGTCACCCCCCTCTTAAGGTCACCTCACCATCACCCTTTCACTCTGTCATCCTCCTCACACTGTCACCCACCCTCCCTGTCACTCATCCTTACTCTGTCACCCATACTCTCACATTACGCCACCCCCCCCTCTTACTCTGTCATTCCTCGCTCACCTCATCACCCTCCCTCTCACACTATGTCACCACTCTCCGCACTCTGCCACCTCCATCCATATACACTGTCAACCCTCAACACGCTGGCACCCTCCTGCTCTTTTACACTCACCCTGCCACATTTATCCCTTTACTCACCCTGTCACCCCCCCCAAGGCAATCATTATACACACCGTCATAAAACATAGCTTCGCCATAAACTCAGTGCCAAAGGCAAGTCAGTACACAGACATACACATGCTCAGAGAAACATACATACAGATACAAGGATACTCACTTTCCGATACACACACTCAGGCAGACAATGCAACGATGTATACAGAGACTAGCTCTGTGTATCCAGTGCTGCAAGCTCCACCAGGGACGTTTTAGCCTTGGGCAGGATTTTCCAGGGGGCGGCAAAAAAAGATGCCCCCAAATGCCCAGGGCAAATGCCAGACAGCTCAGAGGAAGTGCTCCCTTGCCAGCTGCCCTCCCGCCCCCCAGCAACCAGCCCAGCAGCCCCACTAGACCCCAGGGAGATAGAGAACCCCCCCAGCATTACCAGTAAGGAGTCTGGGGGAGGGGGGTAAATAAAAAAATGAAAAGTGTTAATGTGAGTGAGTGTGTGTGTATGTATGTCTGTTAGTGAGTGTGTGTCTGTTAGCTAATGTATGCGTATCTGTCAGTGAATGTGTGTGTGTGTGGCGGGGGAGGGGGGCGCCTGAGTTTTGTCCTGCCTAGGGCAGCACAAAACCAGGATACACCACTGAGCTCCACCATCAATATATCTACAGCTTCTTATACACAAAGTCAACTGCTATTTTTTCTTCAATAATTGTGTTCTCCATGGGGTCTCATGTATGCGTTTCGCCTAAGGCCTCGCCAAGTCTAGAGCCGACACTGCAGTACAGCCCTTCAGTATCCAATAGTCTCTTATACAGGGACTCCTCAAAGCGGTTTGCTCCTTCCCTCTGGAACTGTAAAAATAAAAAATATAGTTACAACCCACCAAATCGTAACCAGAAAGCATATTACTTATTTTATATTATTAGAAATGACAATTTCAATGTTGAAGATTGGAGGCATAGAATAGAAAGAATGATCGAGCGCTTTCAATTTTGAATAAAAGCATGTCTGTGCTTACAGTGTAAGCAGTGTTTAGATGATAGGGTCACAGTGTGAGCAGTGTTTAGGTGATACGGTCACAGTGTAAGCAGTGTTTATGGGATACGGTCACAGTGTGAGCAGTGTATAGGAGATACGGTCACAGTGTAAACAGTGTTTAGGAGATACGGTCACAGTGTAAGCAGTGTATAGGAGATACGGTCACAGTGTAAGCAGTGTATAGGAGATACGGTCACAGTGTAAACAGTGTGTAGGTGATACAGGCGTTTCATTCTCCACAATCACAGTACTTTTGGTTACCTTATAAGTATTACAGTGACTCACATTGGTTGAATTGGCACATGAATACACATGTGAGCAGTAACGCCACGTCAAGGCTTCAACCCTTGTTACTAACCATTCACACACACCATACGTTTTATTCATACGCATTCGGTATCCAAGATGTTTTGGACTACACCTCCCATAATGGTTTGCCAGCATTATGGGAGATGTAATTCACAGCATCTGGACTGCCCAAGGTTACCTACCTCTGAACTAGACAGTGGTCACAGTACACAATGTTGAAGTTGCTGTGCAAACAGGAGCAGCTTGTCAAGTGTCAGGTGCCACTTCATTACTTATAAATTCAATACTCCACCCTGGAGAAGAGCATCAGACATGGGCTTCTTCATTCCTCTTCATGTACTTCGTGTCCCATAGGAGAACATGCTTGTCAGAGCTGTGACACACACAAAAAGAAATAAACTGGTTAGAGTAACTGGCATAACAGACACAGTGCATGCAGACTTGCGTGCCACATACATACAGCAGACAGACACAAAGATTGTGGGAGACACACCAGATTAAATATAAGAATTGGGAGTACCATACATACACAATGCACAAAGAGACGGAGATTATTGAATGCGGTGACCGACGGATTTGGTTGCAGATGTGGGGCAGTCCCTCTCGCTGGGGTGCAGTTTCTCATCCTTCTCTGGCGAGTGACTAGATGGCTGCGGTTTCATAGCAAAAAGCATGCCATGGCATATGATATCTATGAAATAAATATTTTTCTGTGAAACTAGGGTTGTACACGTCTAACACACAGGTCGCACGTAGTGTGTTGCGCCCCATCGAACGCACTGCCCCACCCACATGTAATGAACAGCCCCTCCATCTAACACACTGCCCCCCACATCTAACACACAGGCCACCCCAGACCCCCCAATATACTGTGCAGCCCCCCATATACTGCGCCGACGCCCCATATACTGCGCAGACCCCCCAATATACTGCGCAGACCCCCCATATACTGCGCAGACCCCCCATATACAGACAGCCCCCCATATACTGCGCAGAGACCATATACCCCATATCGCCAGACCCCCTGCGCAGACCCCCCCATATACAGACAGCCCCCCATATACTGCGCAGACCCCCCCGTATACAGACAGCCCCCCCAATATACTGCGCAGACCCCCAAATACAGCACAGACCCCCCATATACTGCGCAGACCGCCAAATACTGCGCAGACCCCCCGTATACAGACAGCCCCCCCAATATACTGCGCAGACCCCCAAATACTGCGCAGACCCCCCCCATATACAGACAGCCCCCCATATACTGCGCAGACCCCCCATATACTGCGCAGACCCCCCATATACTGCGCAGACCCCCCATATACAGACAGCCCCCCATATACTGCGCAGACCCCCCAATAAGGCACAGACCCCCCTGATGGCTGAGAGTGTTGTGAGCGAGGCTTACCTGATAGGTGTCAGGATGCAGTGCAGACACCGCGCATGCGCACTCAGGGGTAGGAGATTTCTTAGCAGAAGATATGGCCATCAGATTTCTATACCCCCTCAGTGCGCATGCGCGGTGTCCGTGGCTTTCCTGGCTGGGTAGGCGCGTGCGCAGTGTGGGGCAGGGAGATCGGATGAATGTTCGGCTGAATCGATCTCCCTGCCCGCTGGTGCGCACGCGCGCTGTATCCCGCTGTCTGTGCCCGACGGGAGTACTTAGCCGCGCGTGCGCACTGGCCCCTACCTTCCCCGCCTCTTGTCTCCATGCGCAGGCGCAGTGTTGTATTCGCGCAGGCGCATTAGGCGGCCTCCTCTCCTCTCACTGCCTGTAAATTTTACCTACCTGCTCTTCTGCGCATGCGCGGCGCTGCGCTCCTCCTCCTCCAGCTGTTCAATGAAATTACCGGTGCGGCCGCGTCACTTCCGGTGCGGCCGCGTCACTTCCGGTATAGCAATCTGACAAGGTATAGCAATCTGACGGAACACCGGTGGCCATTTTCTTTATTTGGTTTTACAATTTAGTGACTGTCCCCTAGCCATCAATCATCTATTTTTTCACCACTTTAGGTGGAATTCAGAATCACGATCCTAAATCAATTGTGAGGCATTAGTCTCTGATTCAGCATTGTGAGGCATTGGTCTCTGATTAAGCTACATTTCAGCTTGGAGTTAATGAATTTGGCTGACCACCTAATCGACCTAAGTATGGACGAATTGCAATTCATCCCAGAAGTCTAATTATTATTCTGAATTATATTTCTTAAGGTTCTGTTGGGGTCATAATACACTTCTCCATTTACAGTAGTCACGTACTTCATTTTTAACCCTTTCAGATTCCTTTAATCAACTTATTTCATTCTGTATGGGTCAGATGTTACACTCTATGCCTATAGTGAAGTAATTTAATTTACTATTCAAACCATTGTGTCCACTAATTATTAGTGACATGAAATGGAACAGGGAAGACGGAGCGATGTTGACTATGGCATAGTTTACCAATTTTCTACTAGACAAATACAATTTTTTTAGTCCCAAACCTAAAGGTGAGAGTGTAAGGAGATTTAGATAAAGAGTGTTTTGGACCCCACATGTCCCAAATTTGATAGTTATTGGGGATCATTGGACCATCTGTTTTCATTTTAGTGGGTTGAACCCTCGCATATGAATACTCCATCCCTGTTGCTTATTTGTAATTTCCCAGACCCCATTCAATATTAAACTCATCACTGCAAAGCCCAAAATGATCTGTTCTGTTCCTTTTTTAATTTTTTATGAACCTATTTTACTATAGTTCCAACATATTTTTAAAAAGTACAATAGAGTTTCAAACAGTCAAACAGCTTTTCCTGTTCAAATATACATTATAAAGAGCACCTTTGGACTGCAGGTCAATCAATCACTAATAATCCACCCCTTTGATTCAGTTACCTTTTTGCATGAGCATGATCCTGGCCTGTCTTGTTTACTTTTTGTGTTTTCTCTTTTTCAAATCAACTGATCACAGCACAGAGCGTGATAATTAATCACCCAGCCACTCTTACAAAAAAAAAAAAGGATACGAATTACATTGAGGGGAACTAATTTTAAACTAATCATCTAAAAGGGAGAAGATGACAGTTACTCTCAGCAGGAAATTGTGCTAATGCTTTCAAATAAAAAAAAAAAACTGCAAGTATCTGTTTCACTGACTTAGCATGGAACACAGTGAAAAACACAGAGGAGCAGAATTTCTTCTATCATGTAGAAGAAGAAATTAATTAAATATATATATATAGATAGATATCTATATATATTAGAATGGTCACTATAACCCTCTATTAGTCATGACCTCTGGCACTGCTTTACCTTTTTGGCAAATATTAATTAGTTTGGGGGTTTACTATAACTTGGTTATAGCCTGTGTAAAATATAAATCTCTATATCCACCCATCCATCTATCTATCTATTCATATTTTACTGTTGCACAACATCTACCTTAGACCTTGAGATAAGTCCACGAATGTGCTCAGACCAGACTTTTCCAAAGGTCTGACTTGATATATATAATATATGTAATTAACATTAAACCATGGGTAATTTTATAACGTGTAATGGGTTAACAACTTACAGGTGTTCTGCAGAAATGGAATTAAGTTACTCATTAAAATGTGTTCCAAATTTTAATTACTTACTTTCAAACCCTCTATATCTGTATAACAGCAGTGTTGGAACAAACTACACCATCTTAAGCATTATTTCGACATTATTATTGTGCATGAAGTAATATATTGCTATAATAATGTTGAGAAAAAAGCAATTAAAAGACAAACTGTTATAACCCTTAAAATGTAGGTCTTTCCTTTAGAGAAATTGCCAAACAATGCCAAGGTGTCTGTGATTATATTTTCCTACACCATCAGAAGGTGCTTGGAAATTGAAGAAAACGCTAACAGAAAGAGGTCTGGCAAACCTCAAGGCACAATAGAATCAGAAGAATTGTTTCTGGGAGTCGAAGTCATGTGTGATAGCAGGATCAGATGACAACAGCTTAAAGCACAGATTAACACTGGGCAAAATAAGCAAGTCTCACTTCGAAGACTTCGAGCTGTAGATTTCACAGGTTGTGTGGTAGTGAGAAACCATGACTAAGATGTCAAAATAACAGACTTGCCTGGGCATTGCAGCACTTCTAGTGTACTACAAAAGGATGGAAGAAAGTCTTATTGTCACGGTGTAATACCCCAACACGCAGAGTTTAGGATAGCAAGGGACAAAACTAGGATATAACGTATTACCGGGCCTTAGAATGGCCGGACTAAATTTTAGACAGAAAAAAGCGTAATCAGAGACTAGCCGAGGTCAAGGTAATGAACAGTGAAAACGCAAACTAGCCAGAGTGAGGTACACGGTAATCAGTGAGACGGGCAAACAAGACAGGAAAGGGTTAAAGATAAATTCAGAGTCAGATGCAAAGCTAAAGTCAATATCAGAATAAACACAATAGATCAAAGAATGCACTAAAGGGTACTAAAGCAGAAACCACAATAGGGCAAAGTGGATAGGACTACGAAAGTTTAAATATCCTTAACTAACATTTGATTGGCCCACATCATGCCCAATGACGTGGGTCAATGGGAGCCTGTATTTACTTTTGGCTCCCACTGCCCCTTTAAGAGCGTGCTTGTGACTCGAGTCGCGCTCCTAGTGCCAGGCGGGCACACAAAATATTTTAGTCACCCTCCTGTTTCCTACCTTTTAGTTGCAGGAGGGTGACTTTCCCTGGGGTCCAGGGGTGGTTCAGGTGGATGGGAGTCAGAGTTCCCACTCTGACTCCCTCCTCCTTCCTCCCGCGCGGTCTGTGTGTTAGCTGGGAGGAGTGACGTGCAGTCACTTCCTCCCAGCTCTGTGATGTAATCACAGGGGGCCCGGTCACGCTGTTAAAGCGCCCAGTGCTGACCCGGCCCCCTCACAATCCATATCCATCGGGTGGCCCTGACAGCATGGGCCACCTGATGGACACCTCCATATGTGCCCCCGGCGGTTTGCCACGCGGGCCGGGGCTGCAAGTGGTGATGGCGGTACCCGGTCGCCTGTCCGCCCAGTATCTCAAAATTAGAAGATCCCTACCGCCCACCTGGAATCCTGAAACTCCCACTAGTGGGCGGTAGGGACCAGGTTGACGACCCATGATGTACATTAATCCACTCGGGCATATTATACAATAGATCACAGGAGTCATGGTACACGTAATCTATTGTTTAGTGTGGAACACACGGTCAGAGTACGGATGTGAAAAGACCTGGCCTCAGGTCTTGTGTCTACATGTGACACATCCCAGGTACCAATTAATACCGGGTGTAAACTTTTTCTCCCTTGTACTGTATTTACACTGAGTCAGTATGTACAAAAATGTCCCATATTTGCAATAATTGTCAATAATTGGATCTTGATGGAATTTATCAGGTAACACGGGATCTTGAGTACCACCCTATACACATTGAATTTAGTGTGAAACATTTGTACACAAATGAGTCTATCATTGTTCTGGTCCCAAATTTGCTGGACCATCACAGCATCTCCCTCTAGCTTTCAATAGCACTTGGTTGAGGATGCTGATAATACTTTAAAGTGCTATTCAATTTTTTTTACACAAATTCATACACACACATGTAAGTAGTGTGGTGAATAGACTTGTGCATTAAATTTTGGACAAAAAGTTAATGACTGGGCAAATAACCGGCTTAGTTTGCCAAGATGAACAAGATGATTTGGGCTGTATCTCCTGTCCCATCAAGAGGTGGAAAAAAGATAATTGATGGCTTTTCACAGAAACTAAATGCC